AAAGTGAAAGTAAAATGCGCACGGCGCTTTTAAGCTATTTAAAAGCGACGGAAAGCGAGGAAAAGAGGGAACATTCAAACGAACTAAAAACGAACAATTGCTTTACGCCGTATTGCCGCTATTTGAAAGTGAAAGTAAAATGCGCACGCAGCTTTTACAAGCTATTTAAAAGTGAAGGAAAGTGGAAAAGAGGGAACGCCCCCGCCCCCGCGGTGATACCGGTATTACCGGTGTTGTCACACGTCGATTAACCGGTGGAAAAAATTCCTCACCGTCACAACCCTAGATCCAAGTGCTTTTCCAATGAGTGCTTTTAGCAAGACCTAGAAATTTAGGCCAAAACCTTGGTGAAACATTTTTCATATCCCATTGGCAATTTTCTTCTTGAGCAAACCACATTAAATTGTATATGATTAATGCTTAAAGAAGAGAAAAACATGGGGTTAGGAAAAATTACTTAAAGCATATTTTTATTGAAAATTCTGTTTTCTTCAGAGATGGAGTGTGTTAGTTAAGATGCAAGCATGTGGTTCTGTGGGCTGGTTCACACAGTGGGGTTTTGATTTTTATTGGGATAAAGCGGTGCATGCGCCTAATTGGTGAGAGGAGCGGGGACTGTGGCGGTTCGCTTTGTGAACTCTTGGTTTTGATGTCTGTGCCATTTCTTCAATGCGCGGAGCTACTGTGACGGTGTCTGAAGATTCAGACAACCAAGTGCGTCTGTCTTTCTGATTATCGGCCTTGTGCATCTCCTCCACCTCTCATTTTATGTCTCTTTTTTTGTTTCTTCCATCCCACAGTGACATGAGAGTAAAGATCTGGAATCCGAAGATGGGGAAGAAAAGGTGACGATCCTCCATTTGGAACGATTGCTATCAATGGAGCCTTTTTGGGCTGTCGGCTAATTGGACACCATAGCTTTAGGTGTCTAAAACCGACCTTGGCGAAAGTCCATGGGTCAGCCGTCTCACTCCAGAAGGTCGGTTTCATGGACCTGCCTTAAGGAGACGAGACACAACCCTTTCAACCGGAGTCGCATCCGAGGAATATGATCCAGTGATCATGAGATTCTGAGATTGCTTTCTTCTGGATGTTTTTAAGGTGCCATTTTGATGATGCCGAAACTGTATTATCTGTACAACGAAGTGTCCTTCTGCACTTCCTGTCTAAACGAAAACATGTCCTTGAGACAACTTCATCTGTAGCTGCTGATTTTACTTCTGAATATTTATCACGTCAAGATGGAATCACTTCAAGAGTCACTTTTTGTGTAATTCCTAAAGAGCCATATGACTTTAGCTTTGACGTCGTATCAGAAACTGAATCACTTTTTCTCAGTATCCTGAAGATTGGCACCTTTTGTGTTTACTGATGTGAGCAGATGCAGAGTCATCATCAATCCCAGTCCCACGTTCCCTTGAAACACTGTGCAAATAGTATGGACCACCCCATTTTTCAATGCCTTCCTCTTCAGGGGGTTTCTCTGAACATTTCTAATAACTAATGGCTTCCTTAAACTCCCCTAAACCACAGACAAACACTGTACAGCCCTCTTTCGATAAGCTTCCTTTGCTTTTAAACTCGTTTGCTCCATCCTGCTGTGAATTTTATGTTTTCTACCTCAGGTTTAAAATTAGATTTTGTGAGTTAAACCTTCACTGATTATGGTTTCTTGCACATGACAGGATTCCAGCTTTTTTGTCTTCTGGATGTGTGGATAGAGGTCTCAGAAGTGTAAAGCAATATTCAGAGTCTGCTGAGTGGGCATTTTGAGAGTCTGCCCATGTAATAAGCCCAACTCATCAGGGGATTGAGTTTAGTGACATTAGCAGACAGTTTTAGGCAGAACTAGATGTTACCTCAGGCTCAAGCATCCGATTGAGTGGCAACGATCCCCTGAGGAGAGTAGAAAAGACCCAGTTTCATGTTGTTGGACATAGTCTGAAATACTGTTTGTCGTACCAGGACTATCTATCACTGGAATGTTGGATGAAAATTTGGTCACTTTTTAGCCCATTATTTTTTTCTATATTATGGCTACCATATAACACTTTAAAACAGAAGTGTTAAAGAATTTGCACAGCATGCCTGGTCCAAGTTATTATATATATTTTTTTAAAGGAACAGTTCACCGAAAAATTTAAACTGTTCTTTACTCTACATCTGTACTTTTTCTTCAACAAAATAAGACATTTAGCAGATTGTTGTAGCTGCTCTTTTTCATAAAATCAAGGTACATGGAGGAAGAGCTTTTGAGCACTAAAAAAAACACCATAAAAACAGTATATAAAACATCTAAAAAATCACACACACACCAAAAAATATTTTAAAATGTAATGTTATCCAATTAAAATCATCTGTTTCACCTCTCATTCTTGTCTGTGTATATCCAAGTATGTCATTTCTCACACAAATCTGTCATTTGACTTAAAAAAAAAAAAAATATAGTTCACAAGTAACAGGTTACTTGTATGACTTTTTTATTTTTTATTTTTTTATTCTTTGGAGCTTGCTTTTGCTCATACATTATCAATATGGAAAAGAGCAGCTGGAACAATCTGCTAAACTTCTCCTTTTGTGTTCCAATGAAGAAAGAAATTCATTTTCAGATGATCTACCCCTTTAAGACCCCATAATAAGATGCAAAATGAACATCAGCCATTGATGTTTCTCCACTATCACACTTTTGAACAAGCATCAAGCATGTTGAAGACAGCAGTGTTAAAGTAGGTCAAATTAGGCATCGTGTTTTTCAGTCCTCCTCTCAGAGTTTCACTCCCTATTAAATGAAATAGGAAGCAGCCTCCTCTGCATTGGAGGATGCGGCGTGCCTGATGGGGGAACGTGGGCGTCGCGAGCTTGTCTTGCTAAAGCACATGCAACTTTGTTTATTTTTACGCCATCAATCTTGCTGTGCCACGCGCCGCTCCCTTCTCAGGCTTTCCTAGATTTACAGTCTTTTTTAATGAAACATATCTATCACTCTTATCTGCACAACATTTTTTGGGCGGCCCTTGGCAATTCACCACCTGAATGCAGCCGCGTACACGAGCTACTGTAAGGAGGAAGCTCTTATTTTCAGACGATAAGAGATGTGGTTTATCTGATGAACGACCCACAGCATGGATAATCACACATCAAGTGCTGCAAGAGTGCAGCGGGATTCCCAAGCTACCAAAAATAGATTTTTATCAAATTTGCATGTGACCCTTTTTGATTGAATACGACGTGATGTCGCAAAGCTGCTGTCAGTCATTTAAAGCTACTATACAGTGGTTTTATATCGCATTTCTAAGGATGAGTCTCTAGGCTGGAGTCATTTGCATAATGTAAAGCTCATATGCATACATAAATATTCATAAGGAAGAATGCGGTAGGGGCTTCCTTAACCTTTAGGTTAAAAGATTTCTACCAGTGGTTCGCAGTGTGTATACACCTTTATAAATTTGTCAGTAGACAGTGTGTGTACTGTACCTTCATTAAGCCAGTATGTCATCATCATTAAGATAATATTTGGGTTTATGATTCTAGAATGTATTAACAATTGACCAAATGATCCATTTTTGTTCTTTGAAACAGTCGTACACTCGTAAAACGAAATTGGTTTTGGATCTTTTCTGTGAAGTCTTTTAAAATAAGGCCAAATTTATTAAATAATGATCAGAGCATCTACTTCAAAGAACATTTGTTTTCAAAACTGTGAAAAATGCTGCTTTATACCATCTTGCTTCTTTTTTTTATGTGCGTCTGTGTGTTTTGTTCTTAAAGGGAGATCAAAGTATACAGCGTCAAACGTGTTGCCAAAGTTTGATTTAAATAATCACTTGCACATTTCTGCCATCCTACATTCCCCCCCTTTGGATCACTTTGCAAAATTGTACGTTTATACTGGAACGAAACAAACCGCAGTCCTCATTCGAAAAATGAGTTGCAGTGCAGTTGCATAATGCAACAATTTACACAAATTATTTTCCGTACAATTTCTACAATTCGTTCTGTTTCAATGAATGAGGTTCAGAGATCATGTGTTTTTACAGTATGCTCTTCTAATAATGCATACATACACAGGGTCAACCTTTTTTAATAAGTGCCCCTCAACGCAGTCCTCATTCGAAAAATGAGTTGCAGTGCAGTTGCATAATGCAACAATTTACACAATTTCTACAATTCGTTCTGTTTCAATGAATGAGGTTCAGAGATCATGTGTTTTTACAGTATGCTCTTCTAATAATGCATACATACACAGGGTCAACCTTTTTTAATAAGTGCCCCTCATTAGTGAGATTACGAAGGACTGTGCGTCAATAACATCATTTCATTTTAGAAATGAAAAAGCATTGTTTTGAATAGCATTTTTGGTACAATTGTAATATTCTTGGGAAGAGAGCTTGCCAAAATGTGCTTGGTATTGCTAAAGACTGTGAAATTGGTTTGTGAATTCAGTTCCATAATAACACTGATAATTTCAGCCTCTCAGTTATATCTCCATTGTGTCTGAAAGCACATTGGTTTACAAGGCTGCTTCTGAGATTGACAGTTGCAACCTTAAATACACCTTAAATCGACGCTTTTTACAGCCATGCCAGTCAGTGGCCTGCAATTCCTGGTGCTCCGCTTCAAGTCGCTCTATAGCGGGCTTAACTTTCAATGTACAGTATCTGAAGCTTCTGGGGTTAATCTTTCTTACGCATTCAGCTTCACAGCAGTAGTTTACTAGTGGTACGTTTAGTGTTGTAGCTTTACGGTGCTTATATTTTATATTCTAGGCCTGTGATGCATGGCATTGACATGCTGTATAAGCTTCTGCATCTCTCAAACGAAAGCTTTTCTCTACAAGGGAGGTGTTGACACCTGTTTACTGATCAGCGTAGTGCTAACTCCTGTGATGCCAAAGGTAAGTAGGTTGCCACCGTTGCCCCAGCTGCCTTACGCCCCTCTCTGTCTCTCCCGGCCTGAAGCGCAGGGCCGCTCTGCAATACGCTTTACGCCTTACCGTGTGGAACATCATGCCATCGCAAAACGCTGCTGTTAAATCCCTTTTTGGGGGAAAAAAACAAATGTGTTTGAATGGGGTGCTTTCTAGTTACCTGGCAACCCAGGTAGGCAATTAATACGCAGATTAGAAAAGACATTTAAGTAATGGAGAAAAAGAGGCTGAAATTAAAGGCTTGACAGAACAATCGGTCATTTTTAAGCCGTTCTGCTGTAACACCGAGTTGAGCTGACAGTTTATTGATCTCCATGAGCAGGTGAAATGCAGCGGGGCATATATATATATATATATGCATACATACACACACACACACACACACCCCAATAAAGGTTACAGGTGCCTTTTATCGCATTGACTCCTCCCAAGAAATGTAAATGATTGTACAGAGTTTCTTTCTTTTTGTTACACATACATGCAACCAAACTTGATGTAAAATATTTGACTGTAAAAACTGTACAGATTTTATTTAATGACCGTTCAAGCATTCCTTCCGAGAAATAAACAAACAAAACAAAAAAATATTTGGCTTGTTTTCATTTCATTTTCACCCATGGTAGGAGTTCTCAGTAGTGTTGTGATGTTTTCTTGCTGTTTATCTCTCCGATAGAATTACGGTTGAGTTCCTTCCTGTTTCCTGTCTGTGATGACCCTGAAGATATGATCTGTCCGTACAGAATCACCGGCTTGCTGTCATCACACACAGCGTACTACTGCAGGGTGAATCTCATGAACCCATCAGCTCACATTTCACCACAAAATCTAAAGGAAAAAAAAAAAATATGCATCCTAAACTTAATGTATGCAATTATTACATGTATTTATATTTGCCTTTATAATATATGCAGCATTTTATAGAATTTGTATCAATTGCCAGCCAT